GCATAAAACGTTAATTACTAAAAAAATTGTTTCATTTTTGGTATAAGTCATTTATAAAGTCATGCAGTTAATTTTGAAAGTGGTACAAGTCATTTAAACCTTTCAAAACCACATTTTCTTTTAAAAATGACAATAAATTTCACAATCATAATAAATTCTTTTTTGTTGGGACTACTTTAATGTCAAAAAATCATAATCCATAATGGAAGAATATTTTTTAATCCTTTAAAATGCAAAACTCTAAATATCTCGAAACAAAAAAAATATGACTTATACCACTTTCAAAATCATGGGCACAATTATCGGCTGGTTATGGTTCTTGAAAACTTTCAGATCTTCCATTTTCATTATCTTCCACTGACCTCAAGTGGAAGATATCGACGGATCTGAGAATAATTATTGGTATTAATCTAATCTGACTAATTCAGTTAATGGTTCATCACAGTGGGTTTGGTCGGAGGAACGATTGTTCCATGTTCTTCCTCACGTTTCCCGTGAGGAAGAACAAAAACAAAATAATATTCTTTGGGACAAAGGACATTCCCTAAACCCATGCCCTACTATTTGGAAATTTCAGCAGACAATTTGATGTAAAGCTGACATTTCTACAATTTCTTCATGGTCAACTGTTTGGTATTATATATGTCTTCTTCTTGCACAGCGTGTCACGTCGAAAATGGGGCCTTCAATTTCCAGGCACACTTCTCTTAATTGCTCTAGCGATTATACGGGCATAGAATACCCAATGCTTGATAGGTTCTTCCTTAGATTCTTTTTGACCAAAGAAATCATCTTATAGTCTGTGACGGGATTCTCTAATTTGGCCCTCATCAGATTAACATCGTGAAATAATGCATCGATGCTTTCTTTCTAATAAATCCCGCATTGCTTCAAAAGTCGTCCGCCTCGTCTTGAACCTTTCGTTTAAACCATGTTTTAATGATTCCCAACCGTTTGTTATTGGATCTCTGTTGGAGCCAGAACTATTCGTATGCAGGAACAGATTGTAGAATGTGGAACTCATTTAGAATGCCTTCCCAAACTAACCTATAATGTTGTTGGAATTATTCCAATCAGTATACGAAGTCTTCCACCGATAAACTATTTGGTTTTCCCAAAGAGTTCAACCCAAAACGTTCTACTTTTATACTTTGGCTACCTGAACTAAAAACGGGAGGTGTTACGGTACTTCTATGCTGTAGGGTGATTTCGGATTTATGGATAATCTATTGACATTATCATTTAGACGATCTATTACAGAATACACTTTATCCATCTCCTTCGCCACAATTTCTTCTACCGATGACCTCAAGTGGCCCCGAGCATCATTCACACTCTCGAGTACCATATTTCTTATTTGGTTATTTACCTCGCTTGGTTATTTACCTCGCTTACTGACAGGTAATAGAAATGAAAATATAGGGAACATACCAAAAAGTGGACCAATACCGACATTTTTAAAAACGCATTATGTAATCCATAATGTAAATTAGAATACAAATTTCAGAAATTTTTAATGGATAATTATACCCTCAGCCTTATGGCGAATGAGGATGTATGCACTTTAACACGGTGAAAATGTGCCTCATCGAAATATTGGTTTCTTTGGACCAAACCCGTTTCAGAAAATTAAGACTTCATCCAGACTTTGCACATCTTATTATTTCTTCCAAACCTAGTTCAAATTCAAAGATGGTGAATATCGGTCCACTCCTTCTTGAACCTCCACAAAGGGGCTAGGTTTAAATGCGGCTATAGTTCATTATCGAACCTTACGTTAATTTTTGGTATGGAGATTTGTTACCATATACGACTACAAAATACCAAATTGCAGCAAATTCGGTTGAAAAACGCGCTCAAGAACACCAAAATATCGAAAATTGGGGGTATCCTTATATGGGGGCTATCCGAAAAAATTGACCTATATTCATAATTTTTTGTGGAGAGATTTGGAACCTATTAAGAACCCAATGTACCAAATTTCAGCGTATTCGGTTGAAAAACGCGCTCAAGAACCCCAAAATACCGAAAATTAGGGGTACCCTTATATGGGGGTTATCCGAAAAAATTGACCTATATTTATAATGTTATGTGGAGAGATTTGGTACCTATTAAGAACTTGAAATACTAAATTACAGCCAATTCGGTGGAAAAATACGATCAAAACCCCCCAAAATACCGAAAATTAGGAGGTACCGTTATATGGAGGCTACCAGAAAAAGTGGACCTATATTTATAATTTTTTGTTGTTGTTGTTGTAGCAGTTTATATTTCTCCATTGCGTATCAGTGGAATTCGCAGACCACACTGGAACCGCATAGCCACAGACCGACCTATCGCTTTGTAAGAGGTCAACAAAGTTTCCTTATCTGCGCCCCAAGAGCTGCCGGCAAGCGACTTGAGGACCTTGTTCCTACTTTTCAGCTTATCGCAGATAGTTGTGGTTTGCGCGGACGATTTGAACATGCTGTCGAATGTGACCACGAGTATTTTGGGGTAGTTGGTGGTCGGAATTGTATGCCCCTCGACTTGCATATTCAACGGCATTCTCATCTCCGCAGTCCATATGGTGAATAGTGTGGCTGACGACTTCGAGGCGGATATTTTCATATTCCTCGCTTTGAAGAAGGCTCGAAAAATGTACAACGGTCGAAATATTTCTCTATACGAAACAGAACTCGATAACGAATTCGGTGATTTAGGCTCAGAATGGTGATTTGGCCGACTGAATTTCATATTACCCATGCCGGATAGAAATTCATATAAAACCAAAACCAAGTTTAGAGCCAGAACCAGACTGTGCAGAGTATAATATCCTGTAAAGTAACAACATATGAACAAATTTGGTCCATAGACATTTAGGGTCTAGTACAGTTATTTCGATGAGGCATGTATGAAGTGTATATACCCTATTAAGCCTTAAGGCTGTGGTTGTTTATATTCTGATAAAAGAAAACACCCCATTCGGCATCGACGTTTAGCGTACCGAAAATGGGCCAAGACATAGAATTCTCCACATGTTTCTTCTTCATTTATATCAACCTAATTATATTTCCAGTATATTAGTATATTTCCAATTGATAAGGAGTCCCAGATTCACGTTGCGTATAAGAAAATTTTAAAGTTTTTTTAATAAAAGTTAAAGTTTCATTTGGAATACATTTTTATCCAACTGCGGGCTATTTTATATTATTGATAATTATTATTTGTTTAATTCGTATAAGATTACTTACATCTTTATTAGCCAAAATCAAATGCAATTAATGTACAACAAACACACGAAAACTTTTTGTTAAAACACACCTTTCTGTTTTTTTTTTTTTGTTTGTTTTTATTATTTATTATTATATTTATTTTAATATGTTTAAATTGTTAATTTCATTTTTTGTTTCTTTGTTTTTAATTAAAAATCTTAAGATATTTTAAAGATTTTTAATGTTGAATTTGTTTTGTATTTTTGTTTATGTTTTATATTTTTGTTATTTAATTCTATTAATCTTAAAATTGATTATATTTTAATTTATCTGTTATTGGATTAAAGTTAAATGTCATGTTCTTGCATATATTATATGTTGTGAGTGGTGAATAGCAGCAATCAATTTGAGGGGTAGGGAAGAAACATTTTTGTTTTTCATTTTTTATCAACTTATACATGAGAATTGCTGTTGTTGTTCTTTTTCTTTTGTTTGTATTCCATTCATATCCAATGGTGGTTATATAAATTTCTACAGCTATCTGTCAATTAACGTGTTAAGAAGCTTAAAACTAAACGGGGAAACTTGTTGATGTTTCTTTTTTATTTTTTTTAATTTTTATTTTTGTTTGTTTGTTCTTTATGTAAAAAAAAACAAAATATTTAGAGGGGTGGGAAGGAATCAAAAGTTTATGGAAAGAGAAGAAAAAAATACATTTGTTTTCACTTTTTGGAAAACTAGTTTATATAAACAGTGTATCGGGTTTTAATATAGACATATGGAAATCAAACACATTCTTTGTTGGAAATAAAATTACAAGATTGTTGTTATCCAACCCAAAAAAGACTAATGACGGAATTTATTTACAAAAAAAAATATTTTAAAAAATGACGAGAAAGTAGTAATTATTACAAAAAAAGTAATTAAACAAAAACGTTAAACAATTGTTTTATTCTGAACTCAATAAGATTCGATATACATATATAAAGATGGACTTAACGATTTCGTGCACACAATCTTCAAAACAGAAATCAAATATGTGACTTTCTGCATACATATTTTACGAATATGTAATTTGATTTCCATAATCCCTTCTTCTTTTTGTGGTTGTTAATTTTAATCCGGATTTAAAATAGTACAAATATATTACTTATAAATTTCATACACTAAACAATATATATATTAATTACTTGTACATTAAATGCACAATAAAACACATTCTAACATAAAAAAATAGAAAAAACATATTTAGCTTAAATTTACATTATTTTGTTAAAGAATATCCAAAAATCAAATGGAAAATATAGTTATAATTACATGTAAAAAAATACGCACTTAAATGTCGTACACATACATAGGGAGTTTGGAGGGCGTGGGGAGCTATTGGGTTCATTCTCTTCAGCATTCATTGTCCTTAAATTATGAGAAATATTACACAGATTTTGTTTTTACGATTTTTGCATTTACAGTTAAAATAAAAATGTAAATACGTTATGAAAAATTAAAAAAAAAAAACATAAGACAAGCAACGAAAGAGGAAAAACTTGAGGCCTTACTATCTAACTAAATTCTATTAAAGTTTACATATAAATTATGTTCCTGTTGTTGTTGTTTCGTATAATGAAGAGAACAAAGAAAATATCATTTAAATCATAAATAAAAACTTATTTGATATCAACTAAACCTACTAGAGTTTACCGTTTAAGTAATTCATCTTCTCATACATTCCTACATATTTAATTTGTGTATTTTGTTTTCTTCATTTTGTGTTGGTGAATATCATCTCTATAAATATATGTTAATGTTTTACTTTCGACTTCGTGAAGTTCGGTTACCATTACCACCATTATCAGCCATGGTTGTAGCTGCAGCTTCTGCACCATTACTACCACTGACGGCAGATGATGAAGTGGTGGTGGCGGCAGTTTTGGAGTTGCTTGACGATGTTGATGCATTATTGGAATTCGATATTGTCGTTGGGGTTGACTCGTTATTATTTGATTTATTTGAAGTTTTTGAATCCTCCAACGCAACATTTTCATCTGCTGAAAAGAATATTACACACACACACAATAATTGTGAGAATTTCATTAAAATGCATTGAAAAATGGAATTTTTGCTAATCGAATGTATGGCAGGTGAACGAAGTTTTTTGTGAATGATGGTGTTAATAGGTATGAGAGGAATTAAATAAATTTTCACCAATACAAATGTTTTTATGTATATGCATGTATGAATGAATGGTAACTCCAAAAGTAGTTTCCAATTGATATTTTTGTTCTTTAGAATTCCACTCTATAGTTTCTCTAAGGCAAAAAAAAAACAATATGCTGGCCGAAAAAGAATGACAATTCTATGTATGTTCACGTATATATGCACTATATATAAATGTATGTGAGTGTGTTTGGAGGAGACCCATGACATGACATAAAAAATTATGATTATGCTTGCTAATTATATCGCCGACGACTCCACCTCCTGCTCTTGGAGTTTCCAAAGGTTTTACTTCTTCGACTTACTCTTGGATTTAGTTGCAGATTTTGTATTATTAATTGAGGTTGCTGTTGCTGGTTTCTTGCTGGCTGGCGTTGATGATTCTTCGGAAGAACCAGCATCTGTAAGGGATTTCCTTTTGGCTGCTCGTTCGCCTCGTGTGGCCTTTGATGTTGAGGGCGATGGTGTGGGAGATGCAGTCTATTGAATAAAAAATAAAACAATAAAAAATATATACTTCGTAAATTTTCCCAAAATTACTTACTTTTTGAGGTACATTTCTAGATCTAGATGTTGTTGGTGTTATGGGCGATGCAGCCCTCGCCTTAGCCAACGGTGATCTTTGTGCTCTTGGCGTTGCTTTGGTTGCACTCGCCGCAACTGTGGTACGTTTTTGTGTTGGTTTATATTCCGTATCCGATTCATAATCATCGGAACTTTCCTCGTCATCTTCATCGTCATCACTGTGATTTGTTGTCCTCTTCTTTTTACGTTTGGTTAAAGTTTTTCGTTTCTTTGCTGGCGATTTACCAGCGGACGATGTTGCACCAAGACTTCGCTTCCGTTTTTTGCCTGTTGTTTTCGTGGTAGGTGTTTGAGCTGCTGCAGATGTTTTGGCTGCCGTTGATGTATTGCCACCTTTTCGGGATTTTCTAGTGCCCGTTGTTCCCAAAGGATAACCACCGCTTTCACCATCAACCAAAGATGCTGATTTCTTTTCAATTTGAGATTCATCTTTAAAGAGGGAAATGTCAACTGTCAAAGAAATATAAAAAAATGAAAAATTATTACACAAAATCTAAACAGCGAGCAAAGATTTATTTCAATGAAGAAGAGACACAATTAACACCTCCTTTGAAACTGTCCGGTACTAATACGACGTATACTTAGGAAGTCTGAGAAACCTTGCCTAAATTTCCAACGTAACAAAATAAACAATCGATCTTTTTTTGGACCTTATAAACATACTAATAAAAACTATATGAAATGTCCTGGAGTAATTTTAAAAAATCTACTTACGTCCATCTGGATTCTCTTCCGTTAATTCTGGCCGTGGTACTAAACCCTTTTCCACGTCAATCGCTTTTTTCAAAATGCTCTCAATACGCGTTCGTTCCGATTTCGGCAAACGCATATGTCCCTTATCGATGCGTTTCAGTTCGACTGTAGTTAGAACACATTCGATATCGGTGTGATCATAAAAATCCGGTATATATACATTACTATCCTTGGGATCTTCGGACAGCCAACGAATGCTAATACGTGGCGATGTTCGGTATACATTTTGCATGGTCTGACACAAATAGAAAGTACCCTCGGCATTGCGTACGGCCATATATTCATTTTTATAGAAGACAATTAGGCGATCTTCACTTGACATAGGCTTGGGTGAATTTGAGGCCTCACTGGCCGACAGCTTCGTGATGAAGGCCAATTCAGGAAGTGGACTTTGGTACAGAATTGTCTTAAGACGATGACGTTTTGATTTACGATCTGAATCATCGTCTTTAGGCGTTGATGGAGCTGAATCCGATACTTGAGGTTCGGCGGCTTTAGATTTACGCTTTGCTCGGGCTGGAGTTGATGATTTTTCTTCTGTCGACTTTTCGGCCGATTTGCTTTCGTTAGAAGTGCTGCTGCTGGTCGCTGTGGAAGTGGTTTTAGCTTTGGCAGTTGTTGTCTTCGCAGCCCGACCTTGTTTTTTAACTGGCGTGGAAGTTTCCGCTGAAGTTGAACTCGTAACAGCTGCAGAACTGGTAATGGTTTTACTACTATCAGTTGATTCCTTAGTGGTAGTTGGATCGCTACTAGCACTGTCAGTTGCTGTTGTTGTTGTGGTGTTGCTTTTTGCTGGTGAGCTACTAGACTTGTTTTCTGTCTTTGATGAGTTTTTAGATGTGGCCACTACATCTTCAGAAGACACCCTAACATCACGTTTAGTTTCCCTAATCTCCACATTGGCATTTGATTGAGTAACCGATTTTTCTTGGTCTTGTTTCTCTGCCAGGTGTTCTTTTGTTTCTTTAGTTGTTGTTTTGTCAACTTCTTTTTCGTCTTTTTCCACTTTTTCCTTTGTTTCTGATTTGTCGGTGGACTTGGCCTCAGTGCTTACGGGTAGAACTACTTCCGAGTTGGATTTAGATTTAGTTTGATCATCATTGTTATCTGCCGCCGTTTGAGTTACTACTGGCGATAATTTTGTAGTTTCTTTTGTTGTATCATTTGTTGTTTCGTTTTTATGCCCTGACTTATCGACAGGTTTCGACTCAATAGAGAGTTTTGGTGCAACCATTTCCTTTTCTTCAGTTGCTGATGTTTTTGGTGGAGCTTCTTTAGCAGGTTGTTCTGCCACAGCCTTATTTGCTGTACTTTCTGTGATTTTAGGCTGCTCCGACGTGGTATTAATGGAAGAAGGATCCTTTTTTGTGGAGTCAACATCTTGACTTTCAGTTTTCGTCGATTTCAACTCGACGGCTTCCAGCGTTTTCGATTCAGTAGCCTTTGCTTCGACTGCCGGCTTTTCAGCATTTGTCTCAGTCCTAGTTTCAGCAACAGAAGCAGCTTTGCTGGGCGAAGAAGTTTCAGTTTTATTATTGCCAACCGATTTTTCGTTATCTTTTTTCTGTTCTTCGGAAGTGGCCAACATTTTTGGCACTTCTGAGGCGATATTTTTATTAGCACCCTGATCTTTTAGTGGTGACTCCTTTTCGGAGATATTTGCCTTTACCGCATCAGTAACTTCTGGTGCAGATTGTGGGGCCGTTGCACTTGTTGTTGTGGGAGTAGGTGGTGCCACTGGCGTAGTTTTTAATGCACTGCTGCTGGGAGGATTTGTCGTAGGCTGTTGAGGTGGAGTTGGAGGATGTATAGCACTCGTAGTAGACGCAGTAGTTGCTACGGTTTGAGGCGTCACTTTCTGGGGTGATGACGCCACTGCCGTGGTAACGGTTGCCGTTGTTTGGGGAGCCAATGTTGTACTGGTATTGCCACCAGCTACTTTGTTAGCCATTGTATTGGCGGTATTAGCTGCCGCAGGCGTTTGCTTGGTCAACTGCACTGGTGTTGACTGTGGCGACTTTAGGGCAGCCCCTGTAGCCGTATCTGGATTTGCGGCAGTACCTGTTTTAGCTGGACTGCTGGCATTGTTGTATGCACTGCCACCGCCACCAGCATATGGCTTTTGTAAATTCTGATTATGCCCTGGAGGCGGAACAGATGTGTTTTTGTTCGCCACATTTGTAGGTGGTGTGAATTTGTTGTGTTGGTGTGCGGCACTGGGCATCGCTGTTGTGGATGTTGGTTTTGAGGGTGTCATTGATATGGATGGAGGTGGAGCTTGGGGATTTTGGTGCTTATTCATGCCAGTGGTTGGTCCCATGTTAGCGGGACCTGCCTTTTGATGCGACGAGGAGGAGCTGGTGGTGGGCGGTGGAGGTATTAAACTACCACCTATATTGGCACCTGTAACCGGTGTGATTTGAGTGTTTGTTGGTATATTTGGAGTCTTCATCTGGTTAGTTAGTGGCGGTGGAGTCGCAGCTACCGAAGCTAGTTTGTTATTGTTGGCCACCACTTGGGCAGCGGCTGATAAATATCTCTGTTGAAATTGCTGCACAGCTGCTGCGGTCGACAATGCAGCAGCGTTTTGTTGTTGCTGGTGTTTCTGTTGCTGCTGCTGTTGTTGATGAGACATTGCTGTTGTGGTGGGTGGCGGTGGTACACCTTGTGGCATAACTTGCTGTTGCCCCAAATGGGAACCACCTTGTGGATTCACTCCACCATGCTGTTGCTGATGCATTTTATTAGCTTGTATTTGATATTGGAAAGCCTGCAATTGCTGCACAAAATTCGTAGGCAATGCCTGCAATGTCTGCTGCAGCTGATTGAATGTGGGATTTGCAGCTGGATTACCATTAGCCTGCTGTTGATAGGTTTTGTTTAATAGCTCGGCGGCACCGGGAGTTCGTGTTAATGCCAAAGGTTCACCGCCGCCACCCGAACTCGGACCACCACTACCGCCACCAACTGGTACTCCACCAACCGGAACACCACCACCCACACCGCCCATGTTATGGTGCTGTTGCTGTTGGTGCTGCTGATGTTGTTGTTGCTGCTGTTGCATTTGTTGTTGAAATTGCAAAAATTGTTGTTGTTGCTTTAGCATACTCTGTATACGTTGCTGTTGGAAAAATGCATTCAAGTCAGCCTGTGAAGATTGTGGCAATGGATTCTGACCATGAACTAAATTTTGCATTTGTTGTTGAATGCCAGCAAATGTTTTCGCTACTTGTGGCATATTATTGGGGCCATTGGGAGGGCCGCCGCTACCACCGCCACCTCCCATACCACTGCCACCAGGACCAGGCGGTTTTTGATTGTAACTCATCTTGACATTCAATTACAAAATGTGTATAGTTGGGATAGAATCTGTAAAGAGAAATTCGGATTAGTTATAAGGTTATGTACAAAAGATTAGCATTAATGTTAATGTTCTTAAAAAGTAAAGCATAGGAAAGTTATGTATTCTATATAAGGATGAAATCAATTTACCGTTAGAAGAAATTCTTCCCACCGAATACCTAGGTAAAATTGCATACCTCTAGAAATTCTTTAGAACTCATATGGCCATACAATTTGCATTTATATATAAGAAATTGAAACATGATCCTGTAGGAAAAACTACAATCGAATACCCTGTGACCAAAAAGCATTTAAATGTCGTCAAAGTAATCTTAAAAATTTCTCATTAAGGTTTGCTATTACATTAGAAATATAACAGCGCCAGTACATTTGGTCATCGTGTAGAATGCGACAAGTAAAGCAACAAACAGATATATAAACAAAAGTTCGTTGAACGTGCAAAATTCTTATTTGTATTTTGCTGTAAATACAATTTTGTGAATGGGGTATGCTGCCTGTTATTTGCTGTTGTTGTTGTTGTTGTGCAATGAGAGAAGAGCATTTTACTTTGTATGTACACCACGTTTGTGTTTGGTGCCATCAACACACACATATACACAAGCAAGATAATTTCTACAAAGTTTGGCAATTAAAGCTAATTTACAAAGTCATCGGTGTTTTGAAAACGAATAAAAGTGAAGTTGTCGTCATTATCGCCGCCTTCGTTGCTGTCACTAAACATGATGTGTGAACATTATTAAAATTTTTATTATTTATTTAATTACACATCAATTTTCGGAGGAATAGTGTCCTAAAATTAAATAATTTTGTGAAAGGACCTAATTCCTTTTTGGTTCGTTCGTTGAGAAAGAGTTCGAGGATAGTTACCTCCGAAATTTCTTGCAAACAATTATATTTTTCTGCAGTTTATTTGGAGATAAACTGCCTTATGAAACATGTAAGCTGATACAGAATAAAACAATTGATGTTAGATGGCATAAAATCTTGTTCTTTAATCTTACGGTCGGAAAATAATAGATGCATAAGCACACAAATATTGTCAATATTTTTATATCTGATATCTGAAAAGGAATCCTTACTGCGAAAATGTTTTGGTTTCCGTTTTTATAACTGGATGGAGATTGGGGAATATGTATTAAATTCAATTATTGAAAAACTTCGAACTTCAACTTCGTTGGTCAAAGGGCGACCAACGTAGGTTTGAGTCAGTTACATTCAGGATGGTGCAATCGTCTGAATGATTGTTTGATGACAAGACAATCCCAAACATTCATAAATGGTCCTTGCCATTCCTTGACGGATGAGGAAAACGCAGTGTGCAGTGTGTGATTTTTCAATGTGAAAAATAGTGAAAAAATGTGATACTGCTGACCGTAGTGGATAAGGAATTTCTCCAACTCTAAAATAACTTTAATTTTATAAGCCACTAAGAATATCCTCATTATTCTTTAGGGGTCTTTCTAATCGATAGATGCTCTTCATGATTTATGACAGGTAGTTAAATTATGTTGGGTTCCAGGACATAGTAACATGGAAGGGAATGAGATAGCCGATGAGCTTACTCGAGGGGATTCACAGTAGTCCAATCTAGCGATTAAGGAATCTGTACAACCTGCGAGGTAGCCGGCAACAGATGGTCTCTCGCCGTAAAACTACCTCTCTGCTGGAGATATAAATCGTTGATATTAACAGATCAAAGCAGGTTTAGATCACCCATTTCCAAATGGGACATTAACGGAGTGAACTATGCTGGGAAGATGAGGAAGAGCAATTAAACATATACTCTGTAGGTGTACACTACTAAGTAGCAGAAGACACATACAGTCTGGCAAATATTAAATCGATAATCTAACATACTTATCCGGAATAGTCCACAAGAAGATCCTAAGTTTTGTCAAGATTCTGACATGGCTTAAATATTCAATTTTTTAACACTCTTTAAACATCCTCTACTATACTTCCTTCTTTTTTGGTAACCAGGATGAGTACAATGGATAAATGTATCTGAGTGAACGGCTGTAAATGACAGCCGTATCGTTAACCTAACCGATAGAATCTCTTCTACGAGTTCAAAAGGTGAATTCAATCGGATCCTTTTCAACAGACAGTGGGGTCTACAATATAAACGACCCGAGTCCTACTCGGCGAACGTCTGTATGTAAAGAAACTGTAGTTCAAGTTTAAAGTTTTAGGCTATGGTGAAAAACTCTGTTAATTTCCTAATCTTATTACCCCATTTGAAATTTTGAGAAATCGAAGCCATAAGTTAAAAACTCCGTTTTTAATTGAGTTTATTGGGCATATTCAAAGGTGCCTCACCTGTGGCATTTTACGGAAATTTATAATATTTTTTTTTGTAGGAAACATATATGAAAGAACATACATTAGTTGTGTTTGATATGATTGTTGGAATGCAAAAAAACCGCTTACCGAAAGAAAACGATCGCCGAATTCTCTCTGTGCCCTTACTATTAAAAAATTAAAAGTTTATTTAAAAGGAGGATTTGTGATATCTATCCATAGAAGCCTAAAATTCCGGACCGAATGCCGGCCATTAAAAAGAAGAATCGGTCACGTAACATTTGTGGAAATCTCTGCTCATAGGAAACAGCTTCAATCCCATATAAGGGACCCAGTGAAATTTTGGAATCGCATATCTAAGGAAGCATGTACCTCTCCAGCAAAAAAAAAAAAAAAAAAAAAAAAACAATTTTTCTAATCAGGAATTCATCTACTTCAAATTGATATCCATATCTTAATGGGCCTCCAAAGTTTCACAAAAAATGATACTGACTTTCACCTACGGAAAAAATTTATGTCCGCAATTTAAACATTTAAACAGGGTCTATTCAAAGAAATCAGAGACTCTTAACAAATATGTGTTCCAAATGGTCCGCGAAGTGGTTCCTTTAAAATTTGGTCTTGAGCTCTAATCGGCCGTTTTTGACACACTTTTAAAAAAGGATTCCAATGGTCGAGAATTTTTTTATTAAATAACAATTTTTCAAAGCCTTTAATATAACTCTCTTTTTAAAATCTTTACAATAGTTTAAAAAAATAAAAACTTCAACGCGGCTGTCGCGGTGTCCTTCTAGAGATTTCAATAATGATTTCAAGTCAAATTATCAATTTAGATACATATTTGACCGACCATATTAATGAGAATCAATGGTTAGTATCTTCATCTGCAGGAACAACATCAGTTAACGCAGGTATAAAATTATTCCATTGTATTTGTTGTTTCAAATGGAAACAATACCTACAGTGGCTCCATCGAATAATCGGACAAGTGGTTGTCAGATATAATAACGCTTTACATTTCAAAAAAATTGTCTAAATGTGTAGTTTTTTCGCTTTTATTTACACATTACTTACTTATATTTCTGAACAATACAAAAAACAACAACTTTCCTAGTGATAACAGTAAATTTCGCCAGAAAAACAAAATTAATTCAATTTATTGTGTTCAACGCAAAATCGGACAAAGCAAAGTATCAATGGTAAAAAATGCAAAAAATCGAGAAACTAATATTTAGTTGCATATTCTTTGTTGTCCAGAACGGCCTGTAAACGCTTCGGTATTGATTTGACCAAATTCTGACATACCTCCGGCTCTATGGAGTTCCACGATTCCAGTAAAGCCTCCTTAAGCTGTACTAAGGAGTTAAATTTTTTTTCATACACTCTCCTAGCTAATTCTTCCCAAAGATGCTCAATTACGTTAAGGTCTGGGCTCTGTGCAGGTGTTTGTATATGTTTGGGGCAGTTATGGATCAACCAAAGCTTTGCTACACCTGATGTGTGCTTGGTATCGTTGTCTTGATAAAAGGCAAAGTTGTTCGCGATACCCAATTTGTCTGCACTTTGCTTTACATTTTGTTTTAAAATGTTGAGGTAGACAAATTTGTCCATTTTACCATCAATAAAATGCAAATTACCTACTCCCGCACTCGACATGCAGCCCCAAACCATAACGGAACCTCCTCCGTGCTTAACAGTGGCTTTTGTATTCTCATGATTATAGTCAGCATTTGGCTTACGCCACACATACATCTTCCCATCTGATCCGTGCAAATTAAATTTGCTTTCGTCAGTAAACAGAACCTTAATATAATGAAAACTATCAATAGAAATTTATTTTAAGATGATCTATCATCAAATTACCTGCTTCCAATAATCGTCTGGTTTTAGTAAAAACTCCTTGGCATATTTTATACTACAGTTTTTATTTTTAAGGCTAATAAATGGCTTTTTTCTTGCAACTCTCCCATAATAATTATATTTATGCAATGTATTGCGAATAGTATTTAGGCACACATCTTTTCCAGTGCGAGTTTTTAAATTTATTTTAAGTTCTTTTGCGGTTTAAAATGAATATTGTTTTATTTCTTTTAATATCGAACGCTCTTCTCGCTCATTTAATATCTTCCCTTGACCTTCTCTGCTTTTATTGGTCAATCGGAACTCATCACGGAACCTCTTTATAATGTCGTGGACAGTAGATTTACTCATTCCTACCAATTCGGCAATTTCTCTTACTGTTTTATCTTCATAACTCAATTTATCTATTAATTGCCTGATTTCCACACTGGATTGTTTCCCTTTTGGAGCCATTTACATTTATTTTTATTTAGTATTACCACTTTCTTGGTCTAAATGCAATTTACGAATGAATATGACAAACAAAATAGCGATTTGAAGTTAATATTTGCATAATAACGGGACTTTAAACATTGATACTTTGCTTTGTCCGATTTTGCGTTGAACACAATAAATTGAGTTAATTTTGTTTTTCTGACGAAATTTACTGTTATCACTAGGAAAGTTGTTGTTTTTTGTATTGTTCAGAAATATAAGTAAGTAATGTGTAAATAAAAGCGAAAAAATTACACATTTAGACATTTTTTTTTGAAATGTATAGCGTTATTATATCTGACAACCACTTGTCCGATTATTCGATGGAGCCACTGTATA